TGAATCGCCGAGTCCGAAAAAGGCTTTCATGAGTATATAGGCAACGACTGAGGGAGAGAGACCGTATACGGTTTCGACATTTGTAATATCCCAAAGGAGTATTCTGTACTAAAGTGAACATGACACCTGTAGACCAAAAAAAAAACTATCAAGCCTGAAGCCAGAACATGAAAGAGCCCATAAAAAATATGGCGGCGCGTGCCAACCTGAAGATGCATTCCAATAAATATTATTATACGTAATACTGTAATGCAGACAGCTCAGTGCAGGCACGTGCAGTCAGGGTTACTGTGGCGATCTGTCAATCTCTTCTTCTCCCCTCCAGCAACGATCGCTGGCAAAACCACAGTGTTGACTTAGGGATTTGTGGTTCTTGGCAGAGTTGACTAGCCCCCAATAAACTTCCACCCAAGGGGGTATTTCAATTTTTCTACGAGGAGTTTAATTACGTCATGAAATTAAGGTATCCCTTTTTTTTACGTGTTTTCGTGTTCGCGGATGATATTAAAGCCCTGATTTGTATAATATGTTTGAAGGGCGTTCAAGTTGAGTATTCTGTTCCCTCCCAAGTGGGATTTCCTCAATGGTCAATCAATTTCAACACTAATTCTCCAATCATTTTCATCAGATTTCATTCCACTTCGTCTCACTTTGCGGTCCGCTGCAAAACTCGATTTTGTGAAATCATTTTAAAGATCGAGAGTCTCATTCAAATTCGTCACTAAAAGTTATCGAGCAGATGACGAATTTGTATCACGCCGCTTTGACTCGATTGCAAAATGAGAAAATTGACTGAACAAAGTATGAAAATGAATGGCCAAAGACGTGGCCCAAAAGAAAATTGAATATTAATTATGTACGATTTTAAGTTTCGATAGAAGAATAGTTAAAATAGACGGGAAAACATATATATTTTCTCAACTAGTTTTTTTAATCCCAATTTCCTTCATCTCTCCTATCGCTCTTGTTTTTTTGTTTTTTGTTTTTTGTTGTTACTGGCTGAACAAGTTCAAGGGCCATGAGCACCTGTGCCCCTTGCTTGTCTACGACAGTGAACCTATGATGTTCCTCATTTAAATTGAAAATGAACTACATTTAAAAAAAAAATCCCGCGTGTGAGAAGGGGGTCGGTCAACCCAGTAAAAAGTTTTGAAATGCCCTTTGTGCTCGGGTTATTCATTTGCAGTTTCAGGCCAAGTTCCCAAATAACCGTTTGTGGAGGGGGGTATACAATACAGTAATTTTACCGCCAAATTCGATTCGAGCTAGCTAGCCTAGCCGAGCCATGCCAAGGCCGCCGACCATCTTTTCTACTAGATTCCCGCGTAGGCAACACATCTTTTCTAGCGCTAGAGCGGTCCGGTCACGTTCATCTTCATCCTTCCTCGGTCCTATTTGCAGGTGTATTTTGCAGCCAGCTCTCACATTGTGGTTATTTCATTGACGTCTAGCTACTTTTCTTCTTCTAGCTACAATTCTCAAGCTAATCAACGTGAGTTCACACTTTTCGTAGGCTAAATTATATCATTTGATTTACCAAAAGGCAAAATAACTTGAACTTAATTAAAATTGTTACGACCTAGAAATTAGAATCATAACGTTTTTCAGTAGTGTTTTCTGGCCCTGAGTGATAACTGATACTGATAATGTAATGAATATTGATAGGAGGAGGCACTATCACTGGCACTGTGGAGGGCCTAGATACTCACTCTTATTAATGTATTAAAGGTATTCTCTTTCTAAATTCTATCGACACTTCAATCTACCTTTTCTTCCGTAAGCCTCCGCCAGGCTATACACGGGGAAAATGGATAAACAAAAGTCACGTTGGTCACTGTGGAGGAAAAGGAAGAGGATGGTTGAAGAACATATCAATATTATTAATTCTTTTGCATACAATCATGACGATGATGATGTCCGATTATGTACCAATAGGCCTAGTAGTAGTACTAGTACGTGTGCTAGAGCAGAAGGTAATGGTGATGATCTAGCCATGGGTCATGTTGATCATCCAGCAATGTCCAAAATTACTAATGAGTCTAGATCTACTACCAGTACAATTACTAACAGCAATAGCAAAGATGTTGAATCTGAATGTGAATCTGTACAAGTCAACATTGACGCGCACGATTTAGATTTTGAATCTGATTCTGTCACTCTCTTTGATCAGCAAAGTCATTCTCCAATGCCCAAAAAGCGCACTTTCGAACTAGATTTTGAGAAATATGGCAGAACTCATTTTGAGAATGATACTGTCGATGTCACTGACATTGACAGTGACTCTAACCATTCTCATCAACTGTCCTTGCAAAATGAGTCTGCAGCTGCACCGGTTTCCTTCCATAATTCTGAAAATGACGGGCAGCTCACTCGTCCCATTGAATGTGGAGATGGCCCAACATTTGACATAGACCCTCTAGGTGATAAATTCAGTGTCGGTGATACTAGTAGCTCAGATATTTCTGATGACTACTATTCACCCTCGGCCTCGTGCTCCGATGAAAGTGATCATGATGATTTTGATTTTGACACACAGAAGCTTTCAAGTGACCTTGCAAATTGGGCAGCTGTCGCCCAAATTCCTCAATCAAAACTGCGTGGATTGATGTCAGTATTGCGCAAGTATCACCCTGAATTGCCCAAAGATCCTAGGACTCTCCTTCAAACTGTTACCGACTATGAAATAACAAATATTGCTGGGGGAGAGTATTACCACTTTGGTGTTGCAGATGGCATTAATAGGATATCAGAAATTTGTATAGCTACAAAAGATGCTACCAGAATCAATCTCCAGATCAATATTGATGGTTTACCTCTCTTTAAAAGTTCTAAAACTCAATTTTGGCCAATACTAGGGAGAATATCAATGCCTTTTGAAAGTGAAACATTCATAATAGGCTTATATTGTGGAGAGAGTAAGCCACATAGTGTTCAACATTATTTGACCCAATTTGTCTCTGAGATGAAAGGCCTAGAAGAATCGGGCGGGGTTATGATTAAGTCCACAAATGATCTCATTCCCATATCGATTGCATGCTTCATTTGTGATGCTCCTGCTCGTGCATTTGTGAAGCAGACAAAGCCACACAACGCGTACTATGGCTGTGATAAATGTGTACAGAAAGGTGACTGGTCAAACAAAGTTATCTTTCCTGAAACTGATTCGCCACTGAGAACTGATTCTGCTTTCAAAAATATGGTGCAGAAAGAACACCATAATAACAAATCTCCAATTTCTGAGTTATCAGTTGGATTAGTTTCCCAATTTCCGCTTGATCCAATGCACCTTGTTCATCTAGGTGTTGTGAAAAGGCTAATTTGGAGCTGGACCAAAGGACCAATTAGATGTCGAATCAGTGCAAATATGCGTAGACAAATTTCAGATTGTCTTCTATCTTGTCGACCATTTGTTCCTCGGGAATTTCCAAGGAAGTGTCGACCTCTAAGTGAATTTGAAAGGTGGAAAGCTACTGAATTGCGCCAATTTATAATTTACAGTGGACCTGTCGTATTGAAAGGTAAACTCTCAGATGATGTTTATCTCCATTTTCTTCTCTTATCTGTTTCAATATATTGTTTATCCAGTTCATTGTACTTGCCGACATATTGTGACTATGTTAAGGAATTGCTTGACACATTTGTTAAAATGTGGGCAGGCTTGTATGGGCGAGATATGCTTGTATATAATGTCCATGGGCTAACACATTTGGCAGCTGATGCCAAGAAATTCGGTCCTCTCGATTCGTATTCTGCCTTCCCGTTTGAAAGTTTTCTTGGGAGATTGAAAAAAGTGGTACGTAAACCGCATAGGTGTCTACCTCAAGTGATACGAAGACTATCTGAGAATAAAATAGGAGGAAAGGATGAAAAAAAGTCGAATGACTTTTGTTTGGGGCCTGAGCATACAGACGGTCCAATCCTCCTTGCCCACAAAAGGCACTTAACACAGCACAGATATGTACAATTCAATGGCCTTTACTTTTCAGCAAAGGACAGTGACAGTTGCATTCAAATTGGTTCACGATACGGGCTGATAAGAAACATTATTCAGGATCCACAGAATTTGACTGTGATGGTGATGTTTCAACAATTTATGAGGGTTGACAACTTTTTCCAGCGCCCACTGGATTCTTCAGACCTTGGGATTGTGAAAGTCAGTCGATTATCTGATACTCTGAAAGCCGAAAAGCTATCTGAAATTGTTTGCAAGTTGTACCGAATTCCTTATAAGGAATCATTTGTACTTGTGCCCCTTGTCCACCAGTTTTGTTGAATTTTCTGTCTGAGTTCAGATTATTACTTACAAGAATCTTCTGTAGTTTGTACAGTAACGCAACTCTTGTATCAATGAACTCTTATGCAATTTGTTTATTAATGATTGAATACATCTAGATGCAATTTGTTTATTAATGATTGAATACATCTAGCTGCATTTAGTGAAGGATAGTTAAGAAGTGTTTGAGACTTGACAGATCTATCAAAAATATATATTTTTTCTTTGAGCTGTCGGGTAGATATTGATGATGACATTTTGCACTAGCCATATCTCTGGGCTGTCGGCTCTCGACAAAATATCTCGACAAAATATCTCGACAAAATATCTCGACAAAATATCCCGCTAATTGCAACTGCAGGCTGATGAAGACCCAAATTAGCTGGATAATTTGCGATTGGGATAGTTTAAATAGCGGCAATCTCAAGCTGATGAAAACAGGCCTATGGTCCCCCCCCCCCCCAATTTCCAGTAATTTGGCTTGCGTATCTTGCTCACTGCTTGTGTACAGGGATCAGCAATCTGCTGTGAAGCTACAGTGTATCCTTTAGTCCATGAAGTTGGAAGTATTATTATCAGAAGCATAGAAATGACTTAGAAATTGTGTTGAAGATGAGTGGGAAAGAGAATACTTTTACTACAATTACTGTACATACACATTTTAATGTAAGTGTACAATTAAAATCACAGTATCACAACAAATTTGTCACTTCTCAAAATCTTTAAAGATAATGCCATTGAACTACGTGATAGTAGAATTTGAGAAGGAGGCTGGGAGCGGAGAGACATCTCTAGAAGTCGTACCAGAAACCTGGAGGGACACAGAAGGGAATGGTTGCTTCCTGTACCCGGAGCATTACACTGCACCACGGGTGATAAAGGCTGCTAAGAAAGGAGAACCTCCAACGGACCTGTGGAAATCTTTCCCAGTTAAAAAGGAGTGGCTTACCACAGGTAAAGAAACATTTTAGTGTATAATTGTTATAATCCTGTATTAAATGTAATGAATACAATACAAGAATAAATTTTCTTGATATTAGAAGATTCACTATGCAATTGGTACCCCCCCTCCCCCCCCCCCCAAAAAAAAAATGAAATAACATAACATAAATAAATAACAAATAAATAAAGTATGGTGGTCAGGGATATTCTGTGCTATGTCATATGACCTCAAATCACAAGTTCAACTTTAAGTATATTGTTAAGTTTTGTATTATGTGTGGCAAGTATTCAATAAGACTGAAAAGCATGGGGGGGGGGGAATCAAATTTCTCTGTATCTACAGTACTTGATCTAATTTGATGAGGATGTTTTTGTGTTTTTTTTTGCTTTACAGAGTCATGGGATCGTGCCAACAGAAGGTGCACGAAATTGGTCGCAACTAGCAACCCAAGCGATTCTGAGGAGGATTTAAGCATCAGGAAGCGGAAGAGGAAGTAGGTTCCAATATATTGCATAGATTAATCAAAGTCGTGAATTCTTGTCTGTGATAAGTACCTCTAAAAATAAGTTTTCTAGTGCAGGGCCAGGTAGCAGGTGGAATTGACTGAGTTAATGTTTAGATCTGAAATATATTACTAGAGATACTTAGCAATTAAATCCAGCAACAGCAAACACATTTTGAAAAAATTGTTTGAAGTTTCCACTTTAAAAGTCTATAGATGACCTGTTCTTTAAAATTGTAACTAAGTGATACATTAAATTAAAGCTCATTAGCCACTCGTGCAATGAAATAGAAAGTCTCTGCTGACAATTGCCTGTTATTGGGTCACATATAATAGATCATGCATTTTTTTCTTTAATGAAATATTCACCAGCTTACGCATGTTGCGAAATTTATATTTTAGGAAGAATTCCAAATACATAGATGAAGATGACGATGATGACTGTGAAATGATCATGGACAACAGTCGTGACACAATCTCGGAAAGTGAAGAAGAACAAGTAAACCTCCCAACACCACCACGTCTTCTAGTTGCAAGTAAGTTTCATCATCTTTTGATAATTTTGCACAGATATTGACATGCATATGAAGTACACTGTTACAGTCATTTATTTATTAGTTCATCACAATTTAGGCAAATAATTAGATGACAATTTTTACATATTGGATTCTTTTATGAAGGTCAAAAGTTCTGAGTAGCATAGTCAACAATTTTGTATTAAAAAAAAGAAATCAAATTTCAAATCTATACCTTAGTATTCTTATTGTTTTTCTAATTTCTGATCTATTCTATTGTTTTACTAATTTCTGATCTATTCTATTGTTTTTATTTCTCATGTATCGCTTTATTTTTATGATTTGTTGCAAGAGTTGCGAGAAACTTAAAAGAGGCAAAAGTCATGAAAAGGCAAGTCGCGATCTGCAGCGGTTGAGCAGCTGTCATGGAATATTAATTACCCCCCTTCCCACAAATGGGATGAAATTTGTTAATAAGACTATTGAGGCAATTATATTTCCCTTTAATTTTTATGCCTCCGCTACAAAGTAGCCGGAGGCATTATGTTTTCTGGTTGTCCGTCCGTCCGTCCGTCCGTCCGTACGTCCCGTTCTCGTGATCGCGTTATCTCAAGAACCAATTGATGTATTCCCTCCAAACTTGGATCATGTATGTATCTTACAGAGCCAATGAACTGATTAGATTTTGGGGTCACAAGGTTGAAGGTCAAAGGTTACAGGGCTCATTATATATGCAAAAATAGCTCGTGATCGCGTTATCCCAAGTACCGGTCAATAGATTCCTGCCAAACTTGGGTCATGTATGTATCGTACAGAGCCAATGAACTGATTAGATTTTGGGGTCATGAGGTTGAAGGTCAAAGGTCACAGGGCTCATTATGTATGCAAAAATAGCTCGTGATCGCGTTATCTCAAGTACCGGTCAATAGATTCCTGCCAAACTTGGGTCATGTATGTATCTTACAGAGCCAATGAGCTGATTGGATTTTGGGGTCACGAGTTTGAAGGTCAAAGGTCACAGGGCTCATTATGTTTTCAAAAATAGCTTGTGATCGCGTTATATATTCCTGCCAAACTTGGGTCATGTTAGCCTATAATCTAGGCGGAGTGCCGAGCTTTTTTCTTTGCTGCTAGACTAACCTTAAGCAGAACGTCTGATACGGCGAGACTACGTACCGTGAGCCGCGCACCACCTATAATCACTGGTCTAGCTTTAGTCGTTGTTTTTTTATTATCGACCATGAATCCGTGGCAGTTTTTCGTACGAAAACTGCCACGGATTCATGGTCGATAATAAAAAAAAAACAACGACTAAAGCTAGACCAGTGATTATAGGCGGTGAGCCGCTTCGCGACTCACGGTTCGTAGTGCCTCTACTTATAAAAGTTAATATTATCTGGTCCTGTGACTTACAACACACCATACCAAAGCACAAAATGCTAACATTTACATTTTACATACTACTACTTCGATAATTCTTCCCACAGACATGTCTATTGTGAGCTTAGTTGCTCCCTGAATTCATGATAGTTGAACTTGCTGCTAGTGAGTCTACCATCATATTTTCTTTCCTTAAGAAATGTTTGCCTTCCATTTTCCTTAGTGCATTTAATCAATGTATTGTCCGGGATTGAGCTACAGTGGGCAGGAACACCAACCACAGATCAAGTTCAAAATAAAATAGGCAGATATTTCTACCATTCCAGCTTAGAAAATGTGAAATTGGGCATTGGTAGCGAAGGACAAATATTTGTTAAGGTTGAAAACTAAATTGTCATGAATGGCACCCGGTATACAAATATGCTTTTGACATCCCTGCATACTGCCAAGTCCAATATTATGTGCTACCCTAGATTCCTCTGGAAGATGGATTTCAACAAACTTTTGAAGTGTTTTTTGTGTCATACTTGAAAGAACACTTCTTCATTTTCAAGATTTCACTGGAGCAGATTAAGTATTGAGGAAGAAATTACATCTGATTAATTGTGGATGTTGTGCTGTTTCTTTATTACAGGACTAAATAAGGTACTAGTCACCAATGACAGAACTTCAAATGACAGAACTTCAAATGCCGAACATCCATCTATAAGTACTCCTAGTAAGTTCTTATCCCGACGTTGATTTCAATTTTTTTTTCTTCTTGCTATGTGAATGGGGGCGATGCCTGGGAGCAATTGGATCAAGTTAAATTACTCTGTTGGATTAGGGTGGAGATATCCAGTGATACGAGGACGCAAGGTGAGGACTGTATCTAGATTCTTAGTATGGGTACTTTGGCACCATACAGATGAGGCATCCTGCGCAGCGCTGTAGACCAATGCAAATGCACTGGTGCATAATGTACTGCCACCCAACAAGAGACAGCCAGGTGTCGTAGAAGTCTGGTTTTCATAGTCACCTTTGCTTATAATCAATGCTTTAAGATGTTGTTTGTCTGTCCAGTTGTTGCCTTGTATGAGAGAGATCAACCAATCTAAAGTCTTAAATTATCTTCAATTCATTTCCTAAGTGTGATTGCAGATTCAAAGCCCCAACCAGTCAGACTTTGTATATAAGACGTGCATCAATTACACTAAACTTTGAAACAGAAATGTTGCATCGTAATATCTTCTTGAATTTTTTTATCTGGAAACATTTCTATTTTCATTTAACCAAATGCTAATGTGAGTGCTGTTTTCTTTCACTACAGGAACTACTAAGTCCACAGGAGCTGCCAGAAATTCCACATCGGAGGAAAGTTCACCCCTGACTGCCGCCAGTAAGTTCATATTTTCATATTGATCTCCAATTTGATGTCTTACATTATCTTTAATTTCTTTGTAAATGTTCTCAATGATTTTAATTCCCAACCAGTCTGACTGTGGATGTACAATTAAAAAAAAAAAACAATGATTTTTATTAATTGAGGAGGCATTATACTAACTTCTCTTGAAAAGCGTATTTTTCAGTTAAAATGCAATCAAATAACAATTTAAACGGCATAATGCTGTCTTGTCTACACCTAGCAATTTGCCTATTAAATAAGAGTGAACACTACTTATTGATATTTAATGAGAAATTTGATAATTCGTCCATATTGACTAAAATCAGGTGAAATAACCAACCACTGGATATCAACACCATTCATTCAATCAAACATAATTGACCTTTGATCTTGGTGATGAAATTTCTTCCAGATAATTGGTGATACCGGTACTTCATATTTGTTGGGTGCAGGTTTTTAATTTGGACATCCACTTTTGAAATGAGAGTTACAATTCAGGGATAGTTGAGTTCTTGTTTAAGACCGCAAATGCCTTCAAACTTCAAAGTGCATGGTTATTGCTTTTATTCTTATTTATGACGTTCCAGTTGCTTTTTTAGGACCTAACATTGCTATGAAGGTAATTTTATACTCCCAAAATGTGTGAAATTTGGCTAATACGATTATGCCAATTCAGCTCCAATTTCAAAAAAATATGTGGACCGTTAATTAATTAATAATAACAATACATGGGCCAGCTGGTTGTGCGTATAATAACCAACACGAAAAAGCCAACAAAAAGCCAACATCGGCATTGGCTGGAATAAAACGTATAATGTGCTTTTTTCAACGGCTGGGTAAGGTCATCTTTTTTAGGTCCTCCATTAGGATTTAAAAAATAAATAAATCATAACTCATAAGGGGGGTTCTCAAACAAATACACATAACAAAAACTGAAGGGGGGGGGTTTAACCCCCCCCCCCCCCCCCCTGCGTACGCGCCTGCCTGAATCATATATCAAAATGAAGCTTCATCAGGTTACATTTTGTTTCTCAAATTGTAGTGACAAGGATGTTTGCTGCCTTGGAGGCCATAAAGCAAAAACAGGATAAGCAAGAGCAGATGCTGTCACAAGTACTGCAATTGCTTGCTGAGGCAAGTTTGGGAGGATTACGCACAGCTGCTGATGAGGAGGAGGCCGGGCTTCCAAACCTTCCCAGCAGCTCATTCGAGGAACTAGTTCGGCTGAACGAAATAGTTCAAGATCCCGCGGCAAAAAAGAAGCTGGTAATGTTTTTTTCTTTACATCTTATGCAAGGACAGATTATTCCTTTATTATCATTTAATTCCACAATAATTATACATGTACATATTCATTAAGATCATTTTCTCCTCGTTCATTTGATACCACATTTATTACTCACACTCCATACATGACTGGCCACAATGTGAAACTCAAACATCAAAGTCCTGTTTGTTCACCTATGAGGAGTGATGGTGCACTAGTGTTTTGTGAGGGATTTGTCAAGTATCAAATTAAAGTTATGAAAATAGGACTTTAACTGATTATCTTTACATACCAAAAAAAAAATCACGATGGACTGACTGAAAATTAACCTCATAAATGTTTTCATCCCGTGAACATATTGTTTGTGGCAAGCATGGAGAGTGTGTGCAATAAATTTGGTACCAGTGAACATCCCCAAATTGCAGATGTGAGATGCTTGTAGGATATTTTAAATACTTTTTGTTGAAAATCTAATATCATGGACTACGCCGTTAAATATAACGTATCAACAACATATTTTATATTATAGAAAACAATGCAGTGCAATTTCTCATCAATTAAGTACCGGCATGCCTTTGGAAATGAGAACATGAGAGACACCCTCTATTTGAATGCTCAATTTTTTTTTTAAAGTAACGTACAGGGGGTGGATTACTTGCAAATTATTTGAGGGGTTTCCCGTCAAGTCCTAACCAGCACGCGACTGTGGCTAAATTTCACCAACGCAGTTTACATTTCATTTCACAGCACCGAATGCAATGCAAACTATTGCTCATTTATCTAGCTGCCTGTGGATTTTCACGCGTTCCACTAGTAATAATGTGTAATATGCATGGGTTCAGGGGCGTCGCTAGACCTTTTTCAGTGGGGGGGGGGGGGGTGGAGGCCAACGATTACCGACAAAACTAGCCACCAATTACCGACAAAATAAATTTTACAAATTTTTCAAATTTAACCCTATAAACCCGGGGCCGAAGGCTAAATTGTTTTTCCTATGAACTATCTATAGTTAGTACTTGCGTATGCGCAGATTGTCATTTTCCTTGACGACATAAATATACGAATTATTTCGTCAACTTAGTCAGCATCATAGCTATATATATATTAATGTAGGCGCGTAGCTAGGATCTTATTTTAGGGAGGGGCGGTAGTGAGCTACTCCGGGAGGGGGGGGGGGAAGGCGCGAAAGCTTAGACGTTTTATTAAATTATTAGAAAAAGAAGACGATTTGTTGTACCGCTCTTGACCCTTATTTCTTGTCTGAATTCAGTTTCCCATTCCGCGAGACGCGTGGAAGCTTAGACTTTTCATAAAATTATTAGATAAAGAAGACGATTCGTTGTACCGTTCTCGACTCTTAATCCTTGTTTGAATGAAGTCCCCCCCCCCCCTCCCGCAAAAGTTTTGACGTATAGAAAAAAGATGATTTGTTGTACCGTTCTCTACTCTTATCCCCAATTGTCTGAATTCAGTTTCTCCCCAAGCTATGATGTTTCATTACATTTTGAGGAAAAAGCAGACGATTCGTTGTACTATTCTTGACTCTTAATCCTTGCCTGAATTCAGTTTCCCCCTCCCGCGCGAAGAGCGGAAGCTTTGGCGTTCCATTTAATTATTATAGAAAGAAGACGATTCGTTATACCGTTCTAGACCCTAATCCTTGTCTGAATTCAGTATTCCCCCTCCCGCGCGATGCGCGAAAGCTTAGACGTTTCCTTAAATTATTTGAGAAAGAAGACTATTTGTTGTAACGTTTTCTAATTATCAGAATACAATTTTCCCCTCTCGCGCGAAGCGCGGAAGCTTTGACATTTCATTGAATTATTATAGAAAGGAGACGATTCCTTGTACCGTTCTTGACTCTAAATCCTTGTCTGAATTCAGTTTTCCCCCTCCCGCGTGAAAAGCTTTGGCGTTTAGTTTAATTATTATAGAAAGAAGACGATTCGTTGTAACGTTTTCGATCCTAATCATTGTCTGACTTCAGTTTTGCCCCTCCCGCGCGATGCGCGAAAGCTTAGACGTTTCCTTAAATTATTTGAGAAAGAAGACTATTTGTTGTAACGTTTTCTAATTATCAGAATACAATTTTCCCCTCTCGCGCGAAGCGTGAAGCTTTGATATTTCCTTAAATAATTAGAGAAAGCAGACGATTCGTGTTACTGTTCTCGACTCTTTAGCCTTGTCTGAATTCAGTTTCCCCCCCTTCCGCGCGAAGCTAAGACATTTCCTTAATTATTAGAGAAAGAAGACGATTCGTTGTACCGTTCTCCACTCTTAATCCTTGTCAATGAAGTTGCCCCCCTCCCGCGCGAAGCGCGGACGCTCTGGCGTTTCATCAATATATTAGAGAAAGGAAGACGATTCGTTGCACGGTTGTTGACTCTTAATCCTTGTTTGAATTTAGTTTCCCTGAAAATTTTAAACCTCTGATTTCTTAAGCTGTTATTATAGGAAAGTGAAACTTCGAGAAAATACAAATATTGTAGTTGTAGTCACTCTCGAAGTCGTCACAGCGGATTAAAAAGTCACATGTCGTAGGGAAAAAAAACTTGTCGGCCGACCGACATTGTACATCTCACCGACTTCAAACTTATGCATTGATATAGTACACGAGGATCGAACAAGAATACCGACACAGCAACATATTTAAGCGTGTCTTTCTTGCTCCCTCGAAGAGACAACTCCACCCAAAACCCCCCCCCCTCCCCTCTCTCTCTCCTCTCTTTCGTCCCCCGTTTCTTGGTTTCCTTTCTTTTCCTTTCTTTCCTCTCCTCCCTGTTTTTCTTTTTTCTCTTTTTTCTCTCTTTTCTTTCCTTTCTTTTTCTTTTCCTTTTTTTCTTTCCTTTCCATCTTTTCCTTTTCTTTTTTTCTTTTCTTTCCTTTTCCCTCTTTTTTTCCCCTCCCCCTTTTCTCTTTTTTCCCGACGGCAGCGCAATTTTACCGACAAAATCCTGACAGGTGGGGGGGGGGGTGTCACACCCCCCACACCCCACTTTGGAGACGCCCCTGCATGGGTTCTTTGTACAGGCAGATCACAAAATATAGTCACAAAAATCTGGGTTTACTGATGTGATGTGGCATCTCATATGCATCCCATTTTTAGTGGTGTCCAGTGGTTCCTCACAGGGGTACTATTACCAGGGTATGTGAGTTAAATATCCCTGCTATTACATAAACTTTGGGTAGCAACAGCATCCTTGCTGGCGGGGGTGCGCTATGATTGGTTGTTATATTAGTCTCAACTGCATACAGCATTGATTTTTTCCCTGCACATATTTTGAAAACTACTATAATGTATGATTTCACTAGTGTGCACATGTTGTAATCGTCACAAGAGTTTGTGAGCACATGACATAATCTACATCACGTACATGTACTTATATTTTAACGAATCAAACCTTTTTCATTTTGTTTCATTATTTTGAATTGATAATTCTTGGTATCAGTTGCTTTAAATTGTTTCAGCATATGTACAACATGGAATATTGGGAACAAAAATTATCTGAAACTAGATAGTTATACAGATTTTTTCCTTCTCTTCAGGTACGTTCCCTCAGCCTCGTAGGGGGTAAAAATCTTCAAGCTGTCATTCGAAATGTTTGCAGAAAAATCATTGACAATGAACTTGCCAAGAAAATGAACCTTACAGGTTCTAAGGGCAAGCAGGGTTTGTCTGTCCACAGCTCACTTCTTGCTGTAATGACAAGTAAGATATTTGTTTACTTTTGTACATAAATTATCAGTTAGGGATTAGTATATACACACAAAACGGGAACAATGTACTTCCCATTATATAATCCACAATGCATAACGCCATGTTGAACTTTGTAAATTACCTATTTTCAGATGCATATATATCCAAGCTGGCACTTGACTTTTAAAAGCCCCAACTTGACAGTGCGATAATGCTTTGTGATTACACAAAGTCTAAGGACTCAAAGGCCGAGGGAGGGGGGGGGGGGGGACTTTTAGCTGAGTTACGGTTCTGAAGAATCATATAATTTGGGTTGACGTTGGATTGGAACATAAAATATGCTCCAGAATAAAAGCTACTCAACAAAATTAACTTACAATTTAAGTGTTGCTCTTAGCGATGCTGTAAGTGATTTTAATCTTAAAATTTAGGAAGCACATTCATGCTGAACCATTTTAGGGGCTACCCAGTATTGTGAGCTATCTTGGAAGTTTACTGGAATAATGCTATATAGTGTACATGTATATAAAATTCCATTGCTTTTAATATTGTTAGCAATATATAAAGTATTGATCTTCAGGATAAGGAGTCTAAGAAGAAAATTGTGTTTGGTTTACTGAATTTTCAAATTGTATGGGAGTTTCCATTTGGTGACCCACTTTTTCTGACACCACTGACACTTTTTCAGAAACTTTTTTTGCCATTCACTTCGTACACGGGGGCTTTTTCATGAGAGTTTCTGGATTGGCTTTTTTTGCTCGTGGATATTCATTAGCTAACTGTGATTGGCTTTTTTGGTATTGAATATTAATTTATTAGCTAATTGATTTTTCAAAACTATTTTATGGTCATCTTTTCGTCGCGCGAAAAATACGATTAACTTTTAAAAAAGTTCCTGAAAATGACTCTTTCAGCAAGTAAATTTTTAATGAGTCAACTTTGTGATCTCAGAGGTGTGTATGTTGATTTCGTAATATTGAAATGTTATGAAACTGACCTATATATTGTTCTCAGGACCATGTTTTGGGGAGGGTAACAGGGTTGAACTTTGCTTTTCAAGTTTATAGTGAAGATGACTTTTTTAAAAGTTGATATTTTTCGCAAAACGACAAAGAAGACCACAAACTTGTTTTGAAAAATCAATTAGCTAATGAATGTACAATAGCAGAAAAGTGTGTTAACAAATGGAAACACCCAAATTGTATTCACACTTCTTTTGAGTCAAATTTCACAGTAGGGTTAAGTAGCATCCAATCTCCTGACCCCTTAAAGGGAAATAAAACCTTAATAGCAAGTTGCTCGATCTGGGAAGCAGATTGGTGAAAGTTTTAACGAAATCGGACAAAGAATGAGGAAGTTATGAATTTCTGAAAGTTGTAAATAAATGTAATCACTATACATATGGGAGTATTAAATTGGCCGAGTCTGTAATGCCACTGTGACGTAGTGCAGGTACAACTCTCCCATTTGTTCCAATACAAAATATGACTCCAATATCATTTTTGAGAATTTAGGACTAGGAATCATTTTTTTTGTTTTAGGGAGGTTTTTTATGGCATGATATCATTAATATATGTTGAGTATTGCCCTGTGTGAAGAGGCGATTAGGAGAAAACCAGAATTTAATGATATTTTAGAGTACAACAAATGGGAGAGTTTCCCAGGAATACGTCACAGTCGAATGACTAGTTCCGCAATTTGAGAATCCCATATGTATAGTGATTACAACTTTCAAAAATTCATAACTTTTTTATTCTTTGTCCAATTTTGTTCAAACTTTCAACAATCTGCTTCTCTGATTTTTCTGCTTTTCCCATTATAATCTCTCAAAAAGGTGAAAATGAAGCACAACATTTTAATATGCAATGTAATTGTCTGTTTGTGCATTTGTTTATAGTGTTAAAATTGAATTTTCCCTGAAATTTTTTTGATAATGAAGTATACTTCCAGTCCCCAACCCTTTGTTACAATTGGATTTGACTGTACAGTTGATGTAGGTTTTCCCACCATTTGCATTTGATTCATGGATTAATTCCCTGGAATATGTCAAATGAAATTTATTTGAATATGTCTTTTCATCCATTTAAATTACAGATGGTATTCGAGGCAACAAAGGGTACCGGGATGCCAGCGAAAAGGAGATTTACGCAAGTATGGGCACCTGGTTTACTGGATCCCGTGACCGGAATGGGGAGAGGAATGCGAGGAGGAATATTCCAGCACCTGCACCTGTACCTTACCCCGTTCCAATGCCTGACCCAGTCCAAACGCCTGACGAAGAGTAATATAAACAAGTAATACAAATCAAAACAAGCAATAACTAATAAATGATAATGAAATGTAGACCCATAAACAATAAAGTTAATAAAATGTGACCCTCTCCTCAAAACCACCAATAAGTTCCTGGAACTCATTAAAAAAACATCTTATCTGAAACTAGAGGTTCTAGTAAGTTTTTATATACAATGATATGTAACACTTCCATTTAGTCTTGTAGAGCAGTCAATGGCATATATACACATGAATATGCCTTTCTTTCCCTATTTGCTCCTTTGTCAGATTTGCGACTTACTGGTGGTTTTGAGGTGGCGGTCACAAATGTAAACCACAGGGGGCGACATAACTTTTTTGTACTACTTTTCCCATCGGGCAAACATAATTTCAAATTATTAGCAAATACTTGACCCTAGAAGAATTTCCGTACTCTAAAACAGTTCAAAACAAATCCCCCCTTTTTTTTTCTCTTGCCGGCGTACTCTTTATGGCCTCGGATACATTTCTATTGCCCGGCAGCCGCCAAAAATATCCTAGCTACATTGAGAAGATAGGATGTCATTTTGATATAGAAATGAATATACTAGTTTGATTTAAAGAATATTATTAGTTTCCAATGAGTTTTTTTTATTTAGATTGCAAAAGTAGATCATTAACTGCAAAATTTGTTGCTACGTACCACTTCCAGTGCTTATGTCGGCATTTTATCCACATTGCTGGTCCTAAATTTTGACAGGATTGGGTTGTTCTCAGGTTTTTTATAAAGTGTTCATGCATGATTCATTGTGGCAAGCCTCGGGTTCTTTTTTTTAATTTGTATTGTTATGCAACTAAGTTTAAAAAGTTTATTATGTTCTTGAAATGAGTTCAACTAGATATTTGTTGTCTGGCTGATTATATTGTATGCTATCATGATGTGCTATACGATGTCTCAAACGATTTCATGTCTAAGTATGTAGCACAAACGGTAGGTGTTTTTAAGTGTGACATAACGTATTTGAAGACATGTATGTAATTGAAATTTTGATAAACCGGATGATGCACCGAGATCAGAAGGTATAATGTTACATTATCTTCTAATTACATGCCAAAAGCGTGGTATACCAATTCAATCTTGAATATATATTTTTTACCGCAGTGGTGCCCCTGTCCGTTCATCCCTAAATTGGTTTTCATTCGATAACTTTGAAAATCTTCATCGAATTTGGATGATAAGTTAGGATTTGGAATATGAAGGTCAAATATGCATAAATATACATAAATGAAATGCTCATTAAATATGCGTAAATATACATAAATTAAATGCTCATTAAATATGCATAAATATACATAAATGAAATGCTCATTAAATATGCGTACAAATTAAAAGAACCAAGATATTTTTTGAATTACATTACGCAGGTCATCAGTGTCCTACGGACACTGTGCGTTTCTAGTTCATATTTGAAATGCAAGTACTACATGTATACAGTATACATGATAGTATAAGCAAATAGCAAACCTGCTGCCAATTGAGGTTTATGGAAATTATTGTAACCACTTTATGCATGACTTGCCAAACTTAATTTGCTGCAAATATTAAGGTAACTAAATGGAAATTATTATTATTACGTTATTTTCTTGAGCTGAAAGATACACTATATTCTGGCCAAACTAATAACTACTTCTATGCTTAAATGTCTTGTATGCCTTATTTATATGCATATTGATATCTGTTTTCTACTCCCCCCCCCCCCCCCCCCTCCCGAGATAACGATGTGTACGTAGTATTAGAGTACATGCAGGGTTCCCACAGTAATGGAAAGTCTCGGAAATGGATCGCGGATATGGGCAGTACATGGCTATTGCAGCATTCCAATTTTGACAGACGATGGAAGCGGAATTTATACGCCGCTTGGATACCATAACCCATACCAGAATGGTATTTATCTGGTCATGGAACCGCTAGGGTGAAGATGGGTCATGGAATTTAGTCCTCAAATTTATGTGGGAATCCTGACATTTATGTAATCATATCTTAGTGGAAGTTTGAAGTACATACCATGTTTTGGGACTGTAGCTGACATGTATATAAACAGTAGAAGATGTACCCTGTATGTAATACATGTAAATGTAGTAACATTTATAGTTCACGTGTTGAGTTTTATTATGGAAGAAATAACGTTTTCCTTTTACCATCTATTAAAAAGAAAAGAAAATGTATCTTGATTTTGTATGTTGATTTTATTTTTCTGTGTTCTACGATCTACATTTATAATGTGGACCCCAAATGATACCAAAAACCTCACTTGATACGAGATACGCCCAATTATGAAGATTTTGTCCAGATGCGTGTCATGTGAGAATTACAAGGGTTTCAGTTCAGATTGACCAGCTTTTACTCATACAAAACCCACGTGGCCCATATGGGACCCATATAAAAACACAATTATTGATACCATATGGTTCTCAGATGGGCCATAAGGGGTTTTATGTGCATGGGAATGCCTAGATTTTACCCTAAACCCGCATGGCCCATATTTGACCCAGATGAAAAAGCGACACTAATATACTATGTTGGGCCCATATAGGACACAGATGAAAAGAGGAAATTGGTACCATGTGGGGCCCATATAGGAGCCAGATAAAAACATGATCTTGGTACCATGTGGGGCCCATATTGAACCCAGATGAAAAAGCAATATTGATACCATGTGTGGCCCATAAGGGGCCCAAATGAATATCTAATCTTGATACCACGTGGGGCCCATATTGGACCCAGATGAAAAGAGGACATTGATACCATGTGGAGCCCATAAGGGGCCCAGATGAATATCTGATCTAGATACCACGTGGGGCCCATATTGGACCCAGATGAAAAGAGGACATTGATACCATGTGGAGCCCATAAGGGGCCCAGATGAATATCTGATGTTGATACCACGTGGGGCCCATATTGGACCCAGATGAATAGAGGACATTGATACCATGTGGGGCCCATAAGGGGCCCAGATGAATATCTGATCTTGATACCACGTGGGGCCCATATTGGACCCAGATGAATAGAGGACATTGATACCATGTGGGGCCCATAAGGGGCCCAGATGAATATCTGATCTTGATACCACGTGGGGCCCATATTGGACCCAGATGAAAAGAAGACATTGATACCATGTGGAGCCCATAAGGGGCCCAGATGAATATCTGATGTTGATACCACGTGGGGCCCATATTGGACCCAGATGGAAAGAGGACATTGGTACCATGTGGGGCCCATATAGGACCCAGATAAAAACACAATCTTGAAACCACATGGGGCCCATATAGGACCCAGATGAAAACACAATCTTGATACCACGTGGGACCCACATAGGACCCAGATGTAAAAACCAACATGGCCCACATGGTACCCATTTGGGGACCCGGGTGCAAACGGTATATGGGCCCCATATGGGCTATATGGGATCCAAATGGGCCCCATATGTGCATCACAGCTGGGGCCCATATTGCATCCCAGATACGCCCAGATAAATCCCATATGGGCCCCAGATACTTTGCTATCTGGGCTAGGCCTATTTAAAAAAAAAAAAAAAAAATTCTAGTTCAATAACTAAGTTTTCATGCATTGATTTGATGCAAGAACTGTAACATAATAGACCCTAGATTGTGATTATTTCTGACCATGAATTTCGATAATCATTTTTCAAAGTAAAATTTTCACAGGAAAATCAAACAGTCTTTTAAAAACGAAGACATTAGAGTCTAGTAATACTTTTACTTATTCTAAGCTCAGGTTTCGTAAATCTATTCACGAAACTATATTGAAATCGCGGCAATAATGATGCAAACCAACAGATAACAATTTCAAAGTGTCAAATCTCTTCGACTCGAATTCAACTCACACACTTTCAACTGCAACTCAGCTCACTGATCTCACACACACTAAACAGTGGCAATGCACTGTCAGTTACGGTGATTTTGTCTGATTTTCTTTACTTTGAAGAAATGATTATCAAAATTACGTAAACATGGCGAGAACATCACAAAATAGGCTTTAATTTCATACCTCTATTTATGGAAACTTTATAATATTGCAGCAATCGTGAATTCGTGATGGAAATTGATTGCAGTTTTGCGATGTTTAGTGGTTCATGGTCTAGACTCACACACTTTCAACTGCAACTCAGCTCATCTCACACACACTACACAGTGGCAATGCACTGTCAGTTACGGTGATTTTGTCTGATTTTCTTTACTTTGAAGAAATGATTATCAAAATTACGTAAACATGGCGAGAACATCACAAAATAGGCTATAATTTCATACCTCTATTTATGGAAACTTTATAATATTGCAGCAATCGTGAATTCGTGATGGAAATTGATTGCAGTTTCGCGATGTTTAGTGGTTCATGGTCTAGATTCAGCTTCTACCGAAACAAAATCGACCGCCAAAAACTCGAGCCCTACGCTCCGTCTCGATCTCGCAACTGCGAAAATGTACGTGTTTTGGCGTACTTGCGTGCGACATGGTAAGCCAGGTAAGGTATGGAATATGGTTCGAGTTTTTTTACGACCGATTTTTGTGTATACAATTTTATACGGATAGTCATCGGTCGTGTGTCAATGTTGAATATCCATGAGGTATCTCTGTCGTCACGCATATCCTGCATTATGCATGTCGCGTCTGTTTTCGCCCTGGACGTCGACACGGAGGAGGACCTCGGGCGGAGTATAGCCAATTCCACAGAGTAGACTCTCCCGCGGACGATGGCACCGGTCACCGGGACCCCGAGGGGAGGGTTCAGGAGGAGATAGCTGCACCAACTTGGGTCGGCGATCTCATTAAAAAACAATAGAATACAAAGGCTGGCGGAGACGTCATGCCCCCCCGCGGAGCCTTAGCGTATTATTATTATAGATATCTGACTGGGCGTGCCGTTCTCCTACAATTTAAGGGGCAAGCCCCGGTAGGCACATCATTCACAGGTCACCATCTCCCAGCCAGGAAATACCCACACTAAATTCTACTAAGCAAAGAAGGCCTACATAAAAAATTAAAAAAATCAGTACCTGTCCAAAAAGGGTCTTTAAATATATTAAGAAAATATATAATACCCGACTGGGCGTGCCGTTCTCCTACAATTTAAGGGGCAAGCCCTGGTAGGCACATCATTCACAGGTCATCATCTCCCAGCCAGGAACTACCTACACTAAATTCTACTTAGCCACGAGGGCCTACACAAAACAAAAGAAACAAGTCCAAACAGGGTCTTTAAATATATTAAGAAAAATATATAATACCTGACTGGGCGTGCCGTTCTCCTACAATTTAAGGGGCAAGCCCCGGTAGGCACATCATTCACAGGTCACCATCTCCCAGCCAGGAATTACCTACACTTAATTCTACTAAGCCAAGAAGGCCTACATAAAAAAATCCAAAAAAAATCAGTACCTGTCCAAACAGGGTCTTTAAATATATTAAGAAAAATATATAATACCTGACTGGGCGTGCCGTTCTCCTACAATTTAAGGGACAAGCCCCGGTAGGCACATCATTCACAGGTCACCATCTCCCAGCCAGGAATTACAAATACTACATTCTACTAAGGCTCAAGGGCCTACAGAAGGAAGATTAAAAAAAAAAATCAGTTCCTGTCCAAACAGGGTCTTTCAATTAATTACGAAATATATATAATATCTGACTGGGCGTGCCGTTCTCCTACAATTTAAGGGGTAAGCCCCGGTAGGCACATCATTCACAGGTCACCATCTTCCAGCCAGGAACTACCTACACTAAATTCTACTAAGCCACGAGGGCCTACAGGAAATTAAGAAACAAATCATTACCTGTCCAAACAGGGTCTTTAAATATATTAAGAAAAATATGTAATACCTGACTGGGCGTGCCGTTCTCCTACAATTTAAGGGGCAAGCCCCGGTAGGCACATCATTCACAGGTCACCATCTCCCAGCCAGGAATTACCTACACTAAATTCTACTTAGCCACGAGGGCCTACACAAAACAAAAGAAACAAGTCCAAACAGGGTCTTTAAATATATTAAGAAAAATATGTAATACCCGACTGGGCGTGCCGTTCTCCTACAATTTAAGGGGCAAGCCCCGGTAGGCACATCATTCACAGGTCACCATCTCCCAGCCAGGAATTACCTACACTAAATTCTACTTAGCCACGAGGGCCTACACAAAACAAAAGAAACAAGTCCAAACAGGGTCTTTAAATATATTAAGAAAAATATGTAATACCCGACTGGGCGTGCCGTTCTCCTACAATTTAAGGGGCAAGCCCCGGTAGGCACATCATTCACAGGTCACCATCTCCCAGCCAGGAATTACCTACACTTAATTCTACTAAGCCAAGAAGGCCTACATAAAAAAATCAAAAAAAAATCAGTACCTGTCCAAACAGGGTCTTTAAATATATTAAGAAAAATATATAATACCTGACTGGGCGTGCCGTTCTCCTACAATTTAAGGGACAAGCCCCGGTAGGCACATCATTCACAGGTCACCATCTCCCAGCCAGGAATTACAAATACTACATTCTACTAAGGCTCAAGGGCCTACAGAAGGAAGATTTTTAAAAAAAAATCAGTTCCTGTCCAAACAGGGTCTTTCAATTAATTACGAAATATATATAATATCTGACTGGGCGTGCCGTTCTCCTACAATTTAAGGGGCAAGCCCCGGTAGGCACATCATTCACAGGTCACCATCTCCCAGCCAGGAACTACCTACACTAAATTCTACTAAGCAAAGAAGGCCTACATAAAAAATCAAAAAAAATCAGTACCTGTCCAAACAGGGTCTTTAAATACATTAAGAAAAAATATATAATACCCGACTGGGCGTGTCGTTCTCCTACAATTCAAGGGGCAAGCCCCGGTAGGCACATCATTCACAGGTCACCATCTCCCAGCCAGGAATTACCTACACTAAATTCTACTCAGCCACGAGGGCCTACACAAAACAAAAGAAACAAGTCCAAACAGGGTCTTTAAATATATTAAGAAAAATATATAATACCTGACTGGCGTGCCGTTCTCCTACAATTTAAGGGGCAATCCCCGGTAGGCACATCATTCACAGGTCACTATCTCCCAGCCAGGAAATACCTACACTAAATTCTACTAAGCCACGAGGGCCTACAGAAGTAAAGAAACAAATCAGTACCTGTCCAAACAGGGTCTTTAAATACATTA